TGAGTTGCCAGAATTCGATGAAGCAAAGAGGAGTTGTCAGAGGCGTTTGGTTGGCCACAATGAGCGACGCAGAAAGAGCTCTTTTGAGTCTCAAGGAGAAGGCTCAAGCCGTTGCATGCAGGCAGATCAAGGTGGGAAGGTGCCGATAAGCCTCCCTGGAAATCAAAATTATAAGCATTTTCTGAAATAAATTAATTATATAAATAATATTTTACTGTAGCAAGTCGCCCGTTAAACGGGCGACTGGCTACAGTAATTTTTTTTAATAATATTTTAAATTTTTTTAATGGTGACTAGACTAGTAAGTCGCCCGTTTAACGGACGACTTTGCCTATTTTTAATTTTTTTTAAAACATGCTTAAACTCTTAATACAATTTATAATCATGTTTAGTCTTAAAATTTTACCAAATTTTTTTATTAAAAGGTTATTTTAGAAAACAATAAGAAAGCTGTCCCAAATGAAGCCTTAGAATATTGATGGATGATTATAAGATATTTAATATTTAAATGTTATCTTATTAAAATATTTTGAAGGTTTTTTTATTACAAAGGAATTGAGCGTTGTCATTATGCTCGATGTCTAAAAAATTGTGATTATTATTATTTTGTAAAACTTTGCTGTCATTGGGAAATTTATAAAGGCGGAAAGAAAATCTAGCCAACGATTGCAAAAAAGGTTGATTTGAATTTGAGAAGTGCTCTTCGTTAAGGGTATGTTTGAGACAGCTTTCTATCTGTTTTAGGTTTTATTTGGGACGGTTTTTTTACTGTTTTTAAAAGCAGCTTTCTAGTATAAAAGTTTCTTGAACTACAAAATTGTTTTAAAAAGTAGTAAGAAAGCCGTCCCAAACGAAGCATTATTTTTCAGACAACTATAATTTCATTTGGCTAATACTTTTTTTGTTGCTTTCTCACTGTTTTTCAAATATGTTTGTGATAGAAAGCTGTTTTCTGCAACTTTAATAGTAAAGTTATTTTATGAATTGCAATTTTACAATTAACTTTATAAAATGCTTCAGGCTCCCCAAACAGACCTAATAGCTCATTTGGAGTCACTATGATTATTTATGAAAATAGTTATATAATTGTTCTAATAAAAATAGATTTTTTTTTTTTAAGTTATGGAGCATTTGTTTTCATTTTGAAAAGGTCAACTAGTACCCAAATAACAATTATAAATTACTTCCCATTATAACAATTTATAAAAAAATGGCTAAAATGTAATAGCCAAATAGAACATTGAGAATTAGGCTTCGTTTGTGACAGCTTTTTTGTTGCTTCTTAAAGCAACTTTTTAGTATAAAAATTTAAATTTTTGTATTAAAAAGCTGGTTTAAGAAGCTGCGAGAAAGCTGCCCCAAACGAAGCCTTAATATCAATCTAAAAGGCAGAACAGTAAAAAAACTAACACATATAAAATATGATTACATTTTTTCCCAAAATTTGAACTTGCACAAAGTATAATTAAATCAAAACTTTAAAATTCCAACTATGACAAGTTGTTCTAATTAAAAGCTTAGAGAGTGTAGAAATGAAGTTTAAGGTTTGTAGGTTTGGATGTAATAGAAAATTAGATTTCGTTTGGGACAACTTTTTTATTGCATTTTAAAATTACTTTTTAGTACAAATTTAATGCAAAATAAAGTCCAAAGATAATAGTGGCTTGTGGCTGGTGGAATGTAGGGGTGTCAATAATTGATTCGAATCCGACCCAAAAATTTCAAGTTCAGGTCAATTCGTTTAATACAGGTTGGGTTCGAGTTCATCAATCTGACTCATTTTTAAAATTAGGTCGGGTTCGGGTTGACCCGAAAATTCAAAGCTGATCTGATTACAACGTGGTCTGTATAATGGCTGCGTGTTCCGCCATTTCGCACTTGTGCGTTCTCATATAGTCGTATTCGATATTTGAGGCTTTGAGCATTTCGGATAGGGCTATTTTGAGTATTCTCCATTTGAGATATCCGGACTCGTGTCTCTCTCTTTCTCTCCAGATTGGAATCTTGACCTCATTTGTTTCTCTTGTCGGTGCCTACACTCTATAGCCTCTGATGGAGCAATACCTTTCAGGCCGAATCGATTTTTCATTTGTTTGTATCTCTTTGCATATTTTAGGGTTTTTGACTATGTTTTGTTCTGATGGTTTTGGAGTTTACTAGGATTCATTGATTCAATTTCTTTCATGAGTTCAAAAAAAAAATTCTTTCATGAGTTAAAAAAAAAAAAAAAAAGAGTGAGATGTTTGGTAATAATTTTTGGAAGAAAACCTGTGGGTTTTGATTGATAGCTTGCGAGCTATGGTCCCGGCCATCTTCTAATCTACTTCTTCTCTCTGCAAGTTCGACGTCACTTGTATCATTCTTCTCAAAGCGAATGAAATGCAAGTTTAGGTTTATTTGTGTCATTTGTAAGCGTTAAAGTTTGTAAGTCCTTTTATTTTATAAAAGTGAAGTTGTATATTATTCAATTGTTGTATTTTGGGGTATTTTATGTAATTTTCTATTATCCTAGGAAGAGTATTTTTTGCTTGCAAAAATTTGAGTATTTTCCCAATTTTTTGCTTGCATCAATTTCACTTCATTTTTTAGGTTTCACCAACAATCGACATGCATTTAGATTTAGAATTTTTGGGGTTTTCAAATTGGGATTTTTTGGGGGTTTTTAAACCAATTTTAGGGTTGATACTTCTTATTATGTTCTGAGGAGGAAATCTTTTGGATTATCTCATATTATATTGTTTAGGATAAAATGGTGAATGATTCTCCGACTCTCTGTTCTATGTATGTGCTCATTTGTGTTGACAGCTGAGTAGTTAGTGCTATTGTGTTCTAATTCTTGTTACTAGCATTATTTTTTAGTGGTTGCTACAATCAATTGTTTTTATTGACATGTGGTTGTTGTTGTGATTTTTTGTGATTGCTAACTTGATGTCAATAATTTATCATGTTGCAAGCTGTTGTTGATGTTCTAGTTGCTGAAAATTGAAATGAAACAATCGAACAAGTAAATGCATAGATTTTGGTTGCTGGCTTGCTATTATTGGGGTAAATCGTAAATGCAACCAGTTGTTGTTGACTTGTTGTTTTGGTTTTTGTTGTTGGAACCCGTTGTTATTATTGTTGTGATTATTGTGTTTAGGTAAATACAATTATGCAACCAATTATTGTGGTTGATGTTCTTGTTATTGTTGTGGTTGCTCGAACTAGTTGTTGTCGTTGTTGTTGTGTTTGTTGGATTTGGGTAAATGAAAGTATGCAACTAGTTGTTGTGGTTGATATTCTCGTAGCTACGATTGTCTTTATTTTGATGTTTTTTTTTTTTTTTTGAAAGAGCAGTGATGAGAAACCTCCTAAAGTAAAGGAATGGATTCTTTTGGGGTAAATGCAACCAGTTAGCTTTATGTTCTCTTAGACCAAACTGATACATTATAATTGAACATATACTACTATATAAGATAATATAAAATGATGTCTTTGATGGTACTGTCTAAAAATTATTTACTCATTTACATCTTATTAAGTTTAGTACTTAATGACTGATTTCAAGGTTTAACCTGAGCTCTAGTTTACATTGCATTTATACTATTTCAATATTTGCATTATTTTTAGACTTACAAATATTTAACTGCTTTATTTTTTCCCTGTTTTTGCAGTTTTGCAGATGGATCTCATCTCGAGTTCTAAGTTCTCCAAAATCTACAACATCAGAGAGCCTTAGAGGGGGTGCAAATTAGATTAAATAAAATTTATGTTTATAAAACAATGTAAATGTAATTTGTAAATTTTTATTTGTATAACAATGTAAATCATTAAATGTATTATACATTATTAGTATTTTGTTACTTGTTTGTATTCAAACATATTAAATTATTGTTAGTATTTTGTTAATATAATTGGACAATTGGTTATTTACTTTATTTGTGTTCATTTTATGATTTTATCATTTATATTTTATTTTTGTAGTTGCTCAAAGCCTCAAATAAACAAATATTAAATTTGTATTGATTAAATAAATAATTGAGAATAAATAAATAAATAATTATGATGAGGATGTATTTCAGTTTATTACATTTTATATATTTACTTAAATTACTTAAAAATTAAAATCTTAAATAAATCTAAAATAAAAAATGGCAAAAATTGATAGCAAAACAAATTAGCGAGTCAATTCGGGTTGGCTCGAATTTGAAATTTTATTTGTATAACAATGTAAATCATTAAATGTATTATATATTATTAGTATTTTGTTACTTGTTTGTATCCAAACATATTATATTATTGTTAGTATTTTGTTAATATAATTGGACAATTGGTTATTTACTTTATTTGTGTTCATTTTATGATTTTACCATTTATATTTTATTTTTGTAGTTGCTCAAAGTCTCAAATAAACAAATATTAAATTTTTATTGATTAAATAAATAATTGAGAACAAATAAATAAATAATTATGATGAGGATGTATTTCAGTTTATTACATTTTATATTTTTACTTAAATTACTTAAAAATTAAAATCTTAAAAAAATCTAAAATAAAAAAATAGCAAAAATTGATAGCAAAACAAATTAGCGGATCAATTCGGGTTGTCTTGAACTTGAAACAGATCGGATTCGAATTTGGATTCCCAATCCTTTCTATAGTCCGATCGGATCAATCAAGAGCGGGTCAAGTTCGGGTTAGACCTAACTCGAACCTGACTCGATAACCCATTTTAACACCCATAGTGAAAGGTGATAGAATTTAATGATTTATAATGTATTTAAAATAGTTTAAATTTAACAATTTCTAAATAATAAATACATCAAAACTAAACTAAATACTTCATAATTTTACTTTGAATTTCTACGAATTTAGATCAAATACCAATATTTTTAAAATTCTTATATTTAAAATATTTAATGCTCTTTTTACTTCAAATTAAATATCCCTTAATTTTCCTTGTTCATAAATACTAACCATTCTAGGATTAGGATTATCCCCTTCTAATCCTCCTTTAAAAATGGAAGACCTAAGAAAGCTAACATAGCGATTGCGGTGTGCTTTCTCCGGCGGCAATGGTTTCATCAGATCCTGTCTTGCCAAACTCCTCCGCAGGACGAACTACACCATCACCTTCATCTTTCATCCCGGCATTGACCCTCAAGCTCCTCAAGCTCTCCGATGCTTCTGGAAGCCGCCTCCAGCTCAGAGAGGCCGAGATCTTTGGCGCCTGGAAGGGGTGCCGTGGTGGCGTCTTCCTATTGACGGGGAGAACTGGGCCGTTCTCGATTAAGGCAATGCCAGACAGGTAAAAGCTCCACTGCCGTTCTCCAGAATCAGTGTATTCGTTTAGGTTTGTTTGTTTTTTTTAATCAATTTCTGGTTATGTTGCATTTTGTCCATATAAATTTGGTTTTCTTTGTGAAGTGGATTTTCTTGGGTGGACTTGTGTCCAATGGGAAGTTAGAAAGAGAAGGGATTTTTTAGAATTTTTTTTAGTGAAACAACCTATAAAATATAGTATACTATGATAATGTTATTCCCATAGAATACAGAACCCTCCAAGAAAAGGAAAGGGGATAACAAAACTAACATCCGGCGCAACACTAATGGCAAGTTGCTGCTTCTCAAATGTTGTTTATTTTTGGATTTGAATTTATCTGTGGATGATACAAGAGCTTTGCTAATAAGAATGAGTTAAGCAAAGAGAAAAAAACATGAGAAAGAAAGAGAAGTTAAATTGAGAAACTCTATGATTTTACTAGATTATCACAAATTAAAAGATTAATATAAGTGATTAAACGTGTTAGGCTCTTCCTCTGAGGCCTTATTTTGAGTAAAAGTGTAATATTATGATGAAGGCTATATTTAATCAATACAAGTAAAATGATATTGCAAGGATTAATAAATGCTTATTGTAAAATGAATAAGTCTAGTAAGCTTATAACTTTATTTGTTACATAAAGAACACATGATGAATTCTAAGGACGAATTCAAGTGAATTCACCGCCAAAGTTACTTAGAAATTAGTGAATTCTAGAGAATTCTTCAACAACTTTGCTTTGGTCTTGGTGAGTAGCTCTTTGTAACATGGATGAATTCATTTAAAGACCTAGGCAAGTAGCCTTAGAGACTTCAAATGCTGAGTAAGGGTTTGGTAAGTATTGAAGGAAGATATCAAGTAGCTTTGTCAATTTTAACCTGCTAGCGAGATTATCATATACTTTGATGACTTCTTTGTTGCAAATCGATCTCTCTAACTAGCCAACTTTCTTTGAACTCGATTCTGTCACACCACAAAATTTAATAGAAGAATTAAACCTTAAATCTAGTTATCTCAGCTTCAATATAGAACTTTCCAGAGCCAACTAAACAATCCAATAAATAATATATAATAAAAATAATCATCTATATTTTCATTTCCAAACTCAATCATATAGAAATAATTCAGTATACGTTGGTTTTATACATCAAAATATAAATACTATTCTACAAAATGCCTTAACAGAAAACTCCTGATAGCCTATCTTTATCGACTTCTACTTGGTTGAACCCTTCTCTTTTTTTGAAATTTCATAAAATAGTAGAGTGAGCATTCATATGATCAGTAGACTATCCCAATTCCTATTGCAAAAGTCAATACTTTTTTTTGCAATGTACAAATAAAATATTTAAATATCAATTTCAAAATAACAGAAAATAACTTTACTTTTAAAAAGCATAAACAAAAAAATGGCTTATATTGGCAGAATAACATAAGTATATTTTTGACTTGAATATGCATCAGAATTAACTTTCTAGAACTTATTAATTGAACTTGAACATTATAAACATTAACATGTACTATTACTTAGACATTCACATGGGTGTCATAATGCACTTGTTAATAAAACATCACTTTGTACTTTCTTAGAAGCATCAAAGTATACTTATTTACATAATATTTTTTGTACAAAAGATTATTTTATTTAATAAAATACACAACATATGAATTATGATATGCACATATCCCGATGTGTTTATATTCATGTTCTACTAACATTTGTCTCCCAAAGTCAACCCTCACTAGGTGAAGGAGACCTAACCTAATTCTCCTTATAATTTCACTTATATTTATACCTCCCTTGAACTTCTCACACCCGCATAAAGTAGATCGACCCATAAATAATATCTCACATCTTCACATGATAAATGAGACAAAAAATAAAAGCAGAACAAAACAAAAATTCGTGCTCATATAAATAACTTGTAGTGCACTTTAATATTTTCCACTTCAAAATTTCTACCATATGAACATAAATGTACATGCAAAGATTAACATATTAAATTATTAATAGATACACATGATATTGAACATGAATATAAACACATATGTACTGATGTATGTATGACATTTTAGAAGATGATATATGTATAATTTTCCACATGCTTAATATTTGTCATTTGAATTCCCAATCAAGGTTCTGTGAATGTGACAGATATAAGGAATGTGAGTAGGAGTCAGAGATAGCCTACACCTTCAGTGATGACAACACATTTAGTACAACCAAGAGTATATAGACCAAGTAAGCAGAAAGTGATAGATGCGCTAGAGAGGTCCATTGGTATAGTTCTTTATTCTAAATATTATTATTAAATGAATGAAATTCATTGCACAACATGTTATATGATTAACTGATTGACATGCATACATGTATGAGTGAATATACACTTTTAAGTGATGTGATCAGTGATTAGTATTATGTTTTGTCAGTTATTAGTTTGTAGTAGGAAATGTAATTGAGGATAATATTTTTCTAAGGTGGTTAGATTGTAAGAACCCAAAATTAAAAATTGTTTGTGGGAGCTCTTCGGCGTCGGAATGGGTAGCGTCGCGGCATTAAGTTCTTGGGTTTTTGGAAAAATAAACTAACGTAGTGGTGGTGGGTTCTGTTCGTCGCGACACTAGGTCAAAAGAATATTTTTTTAATAAAATATCACATTTCATTAGATTAAATCTCTCATCTAGCCATCCCCTCCCCCATTTCTTCTTTGCTTGGCTTGGAGATCGATGAGAGAGAGAGAGAGGAGACGGAGAGAGAGAGAGAGATTCGTCGCTCCAGTTGAGAAAAATGTTCTGATCGTGGTGAGTAATTCTAACCCTACCTCTATTTTCAATGATTTCATGCTTTGTCTATTTTATGTCTTAAAATTTTGATCAAAATGCAATATTTCTCATTTTAGTAAATTTTCATCGTGGAACTTTTAATATGTGGTAAATATCATTATCCTTAGCATTTTGGTTGGTCAATATTGAAATTTTACCAGATGGTTTTATTTATATGTTATTTTAATAAAAATGAGTAGAAAAATATTATGTATAAAATGATTAAGGGTCAGTATATTGCAATTGGACATGAAATACATAATATAAATATATTTATTTAATTCAATATGTATTTTTGACATACTACAGACATACTGATGAGTGCAATGATAGTTACATTTCATGTATATAATATATAATATTTGTTATTATAATCTACGTGATATGAAATATGTATAAAGGCAAGAAAAATTGTTGAAAATAATTAACTTATTCAAGTTGGCTAGAGACACGTTACCATGTATAGGAAGGTAGGCTGATGGGCTTTCCTTCAAATAAAATTTATGGTGTAATTGTAATAGCCCAAATTCCATGTTCAAAAAATTGCTCTGTGCGCACTATGTGCCCTGGCGTTGAACTCTTGGGTTCAGGTGAGGATATTCTAGAAAATTCTCCAGGAGCGTAGTGGCATTGGGAAGTTGAGCGCCACAGCGCTAGTTCAAAATGTTGAATATTAAATATTAAAATATCTCATTCCATTTATTTTCAAGTCATACCTCCCCCATTCCATTTTTCTTGCTGGGGAAGGAAAGAAAGGAGAAGGAGAAGAGAAGGGATAGAGGAGAGGAAAGATAAGGCTTTTCGAGGCTTGTTTGTCTACCTCTTTTGTTGCGAAAAGTATTCTAATCGTTATAAGTGACCTCTACTTTATATTTGTCTTCAATGAGTTTGAGTTTAGTATATTACTCCCTTTAAAAATTGATAAAATTGTGATATGTCCTATTTTAATAAAGTTTCATTATGTAACTTTTGACAAGTGATATATGTTGTAATTCTGAGCAATTTGATTAGTTTATATTGAAGTTTCACCTGATGGTTTGGCTTATATGATATTTTAATTGAAATGAGTAGTGAATTATTGAATGCAAAATGATCATATGCTAATATACTAAATTTGGATATGAGATGCATGTCATGTATATGGTTTTTGTTCATTTGGCGTAATGCATGCATATTGATGAGCACACAAGACAGACTTACATGTTTTGATAATTGTATATGATGTGTACAAGATGTTAATTATTATAATATATATGATATAAAACAATTGTAAGAACAAACAAAATGAATGAACCGATGTGTTATATGAGATGGATGAGATCACTGCTAATATGAATGAGAAGATTGATGAGTAATATGTGACTAATGAGATAACTAATGATTAATATCCGATAGGATTGATGATTGATATGATAAGATTGATGACTGATATGATTGATGATTGATGTGATAGAAAGATGATAGATAAGATAGATGATTGATTAGAGTAACGATAGTTAATTGATAGATATGATTGATGATAGATACGACATGTGACATATAAGACAGATGATTGATATTATTGATGATAGATGACATATAAGAGATATGATAGATAAATTAATAGCAGATATGACCGAGATTGATGATTGATGATGGATAAGATTGGTGATATGTGATATATGATATATGATGATTGATTGATTGATGAGAATGATTGATTGATTGGTATGACTGATATGCAATGGACTAATAGGGTACTAATATGACCATATGATATATGATAAGATTGATAAGACTAATATAACAACATACGATATAAAATTATATGATATACATGATACATTGAATTATTATACATGATATAATAGATAAGATACATACATTAATATTGTTTGATATGCATATAATAGATATTGAGCACTTGCTTGATATGATAGGCATATTGTACATTATATAAATTGAAATAAAAGACATAAATTATATGTATGTATATATTCCTTTAGATCTGTTGCATTGTGCTTGACATGAGTAGAAGAATGATAAAACCTTATATGCTACTAATCACTCATCATTGAATATGAAATATATTGTTTTTTATACTTTTTATTGTTCATATGAAATGACACTGTTTATATTGACTACTACATGTTCTTACAGTTATATGTTTAGACTGCTTTGGA